TAAATTTTTTTTAGAGAGAGGGAAAGAGAGAGGGAAAGGCAGAGAGAAATATTGATGTGAGAGAAACACATCAATTAGTTGCCTCCTTTACACTTCCTAACCAGGCCCCAGGCTGGGCAGGAGCCTGCAACCAAGGTACTTGCCTTTGACCAAACTCAAACCTGCCACCCTTTGGTCTGCAGGCCAATGCTCTCTCCACTGAGCCAAAACTGGCTACCAGTTTGGCTCAATGGGATGGAGCATCAGCCTGTGGACTGAAAGGTCCTAGGTTCTATTCTGATCAAGGCATGTACCTTGGTTGTGGGCACATCCCCAGTGGGGTGGGAGGGTGCAAGAGGCAAGTGATCAATGTTTCTCATCGATGTTTCTATCTCTCTCCCTTCCTCTCTGTAAAAAAATCAATAAAATATGTTTTTTTTTAAAAGAATTTCTATTTTATGTAAATAAGTCTCTCCTAAGAAAGCTCACTATAATAGCTCACTTTGCTAATATGTGAAAATAATAAACATTACTACTCTTTTGTATCTTTTAACTCCACTATAATTTTACATCATCTACCTAATAAAAGAGTAACATGCTAATTGACCATAATGCACACTAGCCAATCAGGAGTGAGTATACGAATTAACCCAACAAAGATGGTGAGTTAATTTGCATACACAGGTGCTGAGTGGCTGGGGACAGGGCAGGATGCTTTCGTTGTCACCTCGATGCAGGCATTCCGTATCACCCCAACTGCTCCTGGTCTCTGGGCAGCTCCGGGCTAGAGCGGAAAGGCAGCTCCCACCAGAGCGAAGGCAGTTCAGGCAGCCTGGGGAAGGAAGGCCCATCCGTGCACAAATCTTCATGCATCTGGCATCTAACATATATATTTATTTATATATATATACCCAATAGTACATTTTATGTAATATAACCAGTTGTACAATATATATCTAATACAGACAAGGCATATATGTATAGGAGTATACCTACTCCTATATCTATATTAGTCATTTAAGTGAAGGGACTCAAAACCTGGGTTTTCAAGGTGTAGGCTGTTGAACTTCCCATCATTTCTTAATGACCCTTACTAAATGCTCCTTTTGTAACATATATCAGTTACTTTTATATTAGTACCTGTCTCACATTGCTCACTTTTAGAAACATTCAATTATAAAAAATCAGAGAACTCATGCCAGCTCGTTGGTTATGTGTGAAGATGTTAACCCAGACCCAAGGAAGTTATATTCCTCTTTTAGTGGACAGTTCCTGAGATAATGAATGAAAGCCTTAACTGTCTATGTACAACATAGCAATACAATTTTCAAAGATTCTTTAAAACATGGTGTCATGCTAACACATGGATTTTAGTTTTGTAAACCTGTATATTTTGGATATATAATTAAAGGGATGAGGATTCAACTACTCATTCTTTTATATCTTTTCTCTATAATTTGTTTTCCTTCCCCCAAAGAAAAGTGGACTTGCAAAAACAAGTTCTGCATATTCACTATGTATGAAAAAGCCAACAACTATTGCATGGCTTTGCAATCATGCCTTTATAAAATCACATACTTTAAAATTACTCTAATGAGTTTGTTTATTAAAATTTGTTAGGGCTAGAAAAATTGCATAGCTGAGATTAATAAAAAAAAAAAAAGAACTGCATTATATAAGATATGCTAAATTATTCCAACAGGTAGGCCCAGAAGGTGATAATGTCTCCACAGAACTGAGGTTTATTTCAGGGTTAGTGCCATACCACATCAGGGAATGGGGATTGTTCTCTGCTCCATGAATTAACACTGTTGTGATAAATGTTTTATTTTTAATGCAGTAATTTGCTAATAATTTTCCTTGTTTAAAATTTATACTGCCAAATGTCTCATATGTTAGTACTCATGAGTAAAACCAAAGACAGAAGTGAGAGAAGATGACTTCACTGCTCACAATAAGCAAGTGGGAGAGGTCCAGAGAGTGGAATCTGGGATTAAATACTGAAACACAAGATTGAACCTGTGACATTATACTTTTTCATGCTCTTGCCTGAAAGTTTATTTCCAACAAGAGAGGGAGAAAGATGAGTGAGTTTTATGGACTAGACAAATTGCCAATAAGTTCCCATTGTAACTCTTTACCTTCTACTTATTTCATAAGTTCTATTGGATATAAAACAGCTTTTTACTTACTAAGTTTCACAGGTTAATGGAAAGCTCCTGTAGCCTGAATTTTGCTTAATCTGGCTACCTGGTACAGATTACCTAATTGGAAACAATTTAAATTGAGTTATCTCTTCACTCTACTATTAATATGGCTTCAAAAATACATTCAGTCTATATATTGGCTTTCATTACTCTTCTCTCTGAATTTTCCCTATCTTCATGTTTTAGTCATTTTCTCTTATCTATACCTGATTTCATTTCTTGCAGAGAACCGTTTTTCTTATATTTGAGTCTTTGGTTTGTATGCCTTTACTAAGTGTTTTATGGAATTCCTGCTAATTTTCCAATACTATTTATTGTTAGTAAATTACTGATGATTTATTTGACACCGACACAGTGTAAGAAAAATAATCATAAAATTAGGAATTAAGGTTGCAATTACTGGAGTGAAGTGATTTTATGTTTTTTAGTTAAAATTAAAAACTTTCCTGGATCATACTTTCTATATTAACTATCACATATAAGTGGAACATACATATATTTTTTAAAAATGATAGTAATGATATAACTCAAATAGATAACATATCCTAACTTCTATGATAATATATTACCTTTATGTATCAGTAATATTATATGGGCCAATATGCTGTATTTTGGTATAAAATTTATACCAAATAAAAAACATTCTGCAAATAATTATGTACTTTGAAAAAACATTGCATCTCATAAGAACTGTATTTGCAATTGCATTTCTTGTGCTTGAACACATCTTTCCAAATCTCAGTAGGTCAAAGACTGACCACCAAAATGCAATTTGTACTTTCTAGCATTTCCTTGCTATTTATTAGAAAGCATCTTTATTTAAAACCCAATCTTTTGGTATTATTGCTGAAAATAATGGAATAATCTCATAAAAATACACTTACCCATTATATACTTATTAGAGGTCCGGTGCACAAAATTTGTGCACAGGGGGTGGGTGGGGTTCCCTCTCAGCCCAGCGGGCATCTTCTCCAATTCAGGCTCCCTATCACAATCCTGGACTGCTGGCTCTTAATTGCTCACCTGCCTGCCAACCTAGTCGCCCCTAACTGCCCCCCCCCCGCCAACCTTGTCACCCTCACTGCCCCCTGCGCCAGCCTGGTCACTCCTAACTGCCCCCACGCTGGTCTGGTCACCCCCCAACAGCCCTCCCCTGCTGACCTGGTCACTTCTAACAGGCCCCCTTGCTGGCATGGTTGCCCCTCATGGCATACCACTGGTCTGGTCACCCCACACAGCCCGCTGCTCAGTCATTTGTTCATCCTTCACTAACCCCCCTGCCAACCTTTTGTCCCACTCAGCCTTCTGGTCAGTCATTTGGTCATCTCTTACTAACCCTCCTGCAGGCCTGGTTGCCCACAAAGAGCTGCTTGTTCAGTCATTTGGTTTCCCTTGGGCCGGCCCTGAGTGGCTGGGTAGTTGACATCCCAGGCTAGCCTGCACCTTGGGCAGGCCATGGGCAGCTGGGGGGCTGAAGGGACTGGGCACCACCATCTTGAGGGTGAGGCAATCAATGAGCATATTCTCTCCTTATTGGCTGTGGGTGCTGCAATCTTTGAGGGTGAGCAATTAGCATACCTCCTCCTTATTAACTGTGGGCATCGCCATCTTTTGTGATGGCATGAGGGTCAATTAGCATATTCCCACTTTATTAAATAAGATATGCCTTTAAAAAAAATATATATATATATATATATATATATATATATATATATATATATATATATATATTATTGACTTTTTACAGAGAGGAAGGGAGAGATAGAGAGCTAGAAAGAAACATTGATGAGAGAGAAACATCAATCAGCTGCCTCCTGTATACCTTCTACTGTGGATGTGCCTACAACCAATGTACATGCCCTTGACCGGAATCGAACCTGGAACCCTTCACTTCTCAGGCTGACGCTCTATCCACTGAGCCAAACTGGTTTCAGAAGGATATGCCTTTTAATTTAAATCATAATAACATGTCTTAGATGTGTAAGATAAGATTAGATAGAATGGAAATTCCCATACAAAAGCTACCTTTACCACACACACACACACACACACACACACACACACACACACACACGCACGCCTTTCTGTATTACCATAAGCCAAGGATTGTTTAGAATCGATTTATCCAAAGTTAGTCAGTCAATATTGTTACCTATATATTGTTTGCTTTTTCTTTTACATGTGTTTCATTTTTATTCACATAATTAGCAATTTGAAAGCCACTGAAATTACCCACCTAAAACGTAATGCTAATATAATGTTTATTGCTTTTAGCTTTTACATTCAGATACTTTAGCAAATGTATCTCTTTAGAATACGTACACAAAGCTTTTCAGAACATAGATCAGTTTACTTTATCAAGACAAGAGAAAGCATATACACAGGGAAGTGTTAGAAGATAAGAATGTTGAGCCAGACTGTAAAGGGATATTTCTTAGATATTTTTTAGGTGGATAATAGAAAGCCATCAATGTTTATTTGGAATAGGAAATGCAATTCAAACTCCACTCTCAGTTAAATCACTAAACAGTATCATATTATTTTTTTAGTTGAAACCTATGTGTAGGCTTTTGATGAACTATATTTTCAAATTTAATTAGCAAGTCTATAATGCCTCTACACATCAAACGCCAATGTTTGAATCCAAAGTTCTTTGCTAACACTTTTCCATCATCAGTTGAATAATGACCTTTCTAATATGTGGTTTATTTATTTACTTGTTTTTTATTTTATTTTTTTCAAAGTATATCCATTTGGTTTGGTTAATTTTCCATGATTAATACTGACTGATAGCTGGTTTGTTTTCTGTTCTAGGTTGTGGAGACTAATTTGGTTGCTTTTGACTGTCACTGGATCATTATAAATGAGGTAAAACCAACTAAATCTTATTGTCAACTCTGGGTCCTGTTTTTATATGTATAGTCACAGCATTTCCTCTGGCCTTGAATGTCTAAGTGTAACTGAACACAAAGTAAATGTTCATCTTACTGAGTGAATTCTGTTAAATAAAAATAGGATGAGGAGTGTTTTTTTAAAATTATGAAGGGCTTTGTATGAATAAAATAAACAGAGAATGTCTTCCCCACTGAGTATCTTTTAGCCCTTTCCGCTGGAACACAGTGCTTGCTTCGGGAGTTCATCTTTTCAAAAAGTACAGTTCCTCTTTGTAAGCGAATCCCTCCCAGTGGAGTGTTTGTGTTCCTTTTATATTTTAATATTGTTTCTATAATTTATATCCACTCCCCTTAAGTAGTTTAGCATATTAATAGGAATAAACAAGAACAGATTTTTTCTTTTCATAAACGAATATCACATAAAATCCACCAACTTGTCAAATTCCTTGTAAAGTTTTTATTTTTTTATTTTATTTTCTTACCTTTGTAACACTAATACATAAGATGAAAAATGCATTACAATATGAAAGCCTTGTGAAATATGTTTCCATTAGCACCTGCCTGTCAGATTCCGAAAAGGACAATGAGCAGATGAGTTATGGACAAATAATGATATAATGTGGATTCGGCCTCAATAAAACCTAGCATTTAATAAGTTATATTACTTATGGATAAAAGTAATGTATCATGGTGTATCACTAGATACTACATATTGATTTATAGAATAATAAATTTTGTTGCAGGAAAAAATTAGCATTTTGGGTAAGACTTCTGTTTTGCAGTCAGCAAGATCAGATCAATCCTAGCTCTAAAATTGGTTAGCTGTTATTTTGGATATATATACTATAAAGCATCCTGTTCCTCTAATATTTCACTTGTACAGTAACTATAATAACATTTACTTTTCTAGTTCATAATAAAAATTAAGTGAGATATTTATCTAGTAATCTTAACACAGTGCCTCATTAAGTGGTACTGCAATAATGATCATGGCACATTTAAGTTTAAAGAGCACATTCTTACACATTATTTTATTGAGTTTTATACATTACTTTACGAGGTACTGAGGGAATGAGGTTCATAGAGAATAAATGATTTGCCTTTTTTTTTTCTTTTTCTGTAGAAAAACGTTTCAAATTGTTTTTCCAATACCAGACTTCATTGATGGACTAGTTCTTTTTAGCTCAGTGGAAAACACACACACACACACACACACACACAAAACTAAACATTTTGCAAGTCTGTTTGTGTTGGCCAAATGTTATGACTTACATTTTAAATTTTAAATCAAGATCTGTTTCCTTTTTTTCTGAAATTCCACAGGCAATGTGTATGTGTGAGATATGCTTTTCAATTAAGTTTTGATATCTTCAAATTTTCTAATGCCTCTTAATTTTCATCTGGAATCCTATATAATAAAATCCTAATATGCAAATTGACTGTACAGCAGAATGACCAGTAGCTAAGACGTGCACTGACCACCAGGGGCAGATGCTCAATGCAGGAGCTGCCTCCTGGTGGTCAGTGTGCTCTCACAGGGGGAGTGCTCTTCAGCCAGAAGAGGGGGCTCATGGTTGGGAGCACAGTGGTGGTGGTGGGAGCCTTGCCCACCTCCAAGGCGATAATAAGGACTCCTTGCGGAATGTCCAACTGACAGGTTGGACATCCCCCAAAGGCTCCTGGACTGCAAGAAAGCACAGGCCGGGCTGAGGGATCCCCTTGTCCCCAGTGCACAAATGTCATGCACTGGGCCTCTAGTGACTAAATATCAAGATAGAGAGAAGAGAAAGGGTAGCTTAGCAAACTTGCAGGATAATTTTTCATATTAGGTATTTCACTTTTACTTTTCTGCAAAGTTCAAAGACATAGTAAAGTTCACCAAATATTACACAACTATTAAGTAGTAATAATGGGATTTAAAACAGCATCTTTCAGTCTAAAGCTTTAGTTGCTTTTGATTTGTTTTCTTTTTTTTTTTGTAAAAATAAGTTTCCTTACAGATTATATATTTGAAATGTCTGCTACTTTAACTTTAATCTTATGGAAGCCATTTAGTCTATTATTTTTTCTTAATTTAATTATTTCCTAAATTACTATTTTTTAAAATAGAGAGTCCTCCTAATTCATTGTTTTGTTTTGTTTTTCTCACATCCACCTTCTGATGTGGAATTGATCACACAGATTTCTCAATGTGAAACACATCAGAGTCATTTTATTTGTTTGTGTCAATAAAGCTGGCTAGGAAGAAAAAGTGATGTATTGCTTCCCTATAGACACTGATCAATCAAACTAGTTAATACTTATAATCATTAAATGGAAATACTATTATCTTTTATTCTTTGATTAGATCAAAGAAGTAACCCTTGAATTAATTATTTTTCCATATCCAATGGAACTGATGAAATTACACCTGAATCTTAAAAGTGTGAACCATGTAAAGCTCCCCAGAACACCAGCGGTCATCTCCCTACTACTTAGGTGAATATCACGGAAAGAATAATAACAGTGATATTGCTATATATCTCTCATAAACATTATGCCCATCTTGTTGAAGATATTAAATCTTATTACCTAAATTCCTAGGGGGGCAAATGCTATCTTTAAGGGGAGTTTAATAGTTTGAGCCATCATTTTGAAAATAAACACACAAACAAAGCAATCTAACCAGAAAATAGCTCAATAAATGTTAGAAATATAGAATACATCAATTATATTTTGCTCCTTTACACTGGTGTCTTCTACTGTCGAAATTATTTATACTACACTTGATCTTAGCCAAAAGGCCGAGAAGCGATATATTCCTTTACTATTATTGAATCTCTTAGTCTCTCTCTCTCCCACAGCCCTCTTTGCTAGTCCTTCAGTAGAGGTGTCATTTCTTTTGGACAGGTCAATACCACCTAGTCTTTGAAAAGCCTGATGTTCACAGCCCACACTGGATATACTGATTATTGTTTTTTAGCTCTTTTAGGTTAAAACTTAGAGATTAAGCATATTGTTTTTGTATTTTTACCACCACCACCCCCATCATCAGTATATTTGTAGTCAGTAAGTTTGCTCCCATATGACTTTATTCTGTCACCTCATTCTCTTTGAAACATGTCTCAGAAAACTTGACTCTCACTACTTTTACTTAACTTACAGCCTGTTGTGTACAAATTTATAATGGATGAGTCATAACTTAACCTAGTGTCCACAAAAGAAGAAATATAGATTTCTCAAATATTTTTAGGGAGCAAATAAACTCTAAAAATAACAGCAACAAAGTCAGCAATAAACAACATGCAAATGCCCACTTTGATTGAACATGGAAAACACCAATCTGCCTAGTTTGGTTTGTTTAACTACTATTTTATTGCTAATTTTAAAATGGGTTGCAAACATTTATATAATCTTATTGCATCAATACTTTTTTAGAGAGAGACTATAAATCAAAGTTGGCATTGTACATCATGATACAAATTGAGGTAGAAAGTTGAAAACAAAATATATTTTTTTCATTTGCATTACATGAGCTGTAATAATGAGAGGCTGTGCTCATTCATATGGTGCAATCCATCATGTGTTAGTAGTTGATAATGGTATTTATCTTCTTCCTACAATCAGTGGATCCAGCTCAGAGCAGCCTTTCCACATAAGCATTGTCATTTCTTCAAGGTCCTGAAGCAGATGCCCTAGCATTTTATTTAAATTTTACAGAAGTTAGAAATTCTGACAGGAAGATACACACATTTTAGAGCTGCAGGAAGCATAATGCTGTGTGCACCTTCTATTCCTGCTAATATTGAACCAGATCTTTGGTACCACAACCTCTTATTTAAATCCATGGACTTAGTTTAAGTCCATGAAAAAAGAAAGAAATCTTTGTGACAGCATGGATGGACCTGGAGATTTATTATGCTAAGGGAAATAAAGAGTCAGAGAAAGGTAAATATATGAACTCACTTACTTACGGAATGGAATGAACAAAATAAGCTGATGAACAAAATAGAAGCAGAGGCATGGATACAATGAACAGACTGACAGCTATCCGAAAGGGTGAGAGGACTAGATGAAAGAAGGTGAAAGAATTAGCCCAAGAACATATATGCATAACCCATTGTCACAGTCAACAAGTGTGGTGATGGCCAGAGGGAAGGAGGAGAAGGGAGCTGGATGGAGGAGAGCAAAGGATTGGGGGGTGGGGGAGGGTAATGAGGACATCTGTGATAGTGTCAACAACAAAAATAAAGTTAAAAAAATAAATAGTTTACATCATTATTCTCTGTTAAGCACTGCTGAATTCTTCAGTTAAGAAGTCGTTGAGATTTTAAAAGTTTGAATGTATAATGGATGTTTTTCAATGTTTCTAGTTTAGTGATTAATTGAACTGCTCACTACTAATCTGTCAAGCAGAGAGTTGCCATTCTGTTCCTCTTCCTGCTGGTACACAGCCCACAGCTGGTTTTATCCCATGCTTCCACATAATGTTGGTATAATTATTTCACACTAATGTTAAATTTTATGGAAGCATCAAAGGATCATCTTTGCTAAAGCATGAAGAATATAAACATATTAGCAAAAACAACAACAGAAAGCATAATCTTTTCCAACTATAACCACACAGTAGTGCACTGAAAATATCATTATTAACATCTGCTTTATTCAGAATTGTTAATGTTATTAAAGCATTCCAGTGTCTAGACTTAAAATTTCAGGTATCTATCTTTAGAAGACGGTTTGGTGAAAACTTGCCATTGATTTATTCAATCATTATTCTCTTAATACCTTTTCTGAGCAATCCGGGAACTTTGTTAGATGAAAAAAGGTAGAAGCATGAGAAAGGAGGGAGGGATCCCTTCTCTGAAATAGTGTGTGTGTGTGTGTGTGTGTGTGTGTGTGTATGTATGTGTGTGTGTGTATGTGTGTTTGTGTGTGTGTATATGTTGGCATCCCATCTATTGGATTTTGAGTCTTTCCTTCCCTGGAATTCTATTAATTTGAGCCTAAAGCTGATACCCTACAAAGATCCAGGACTAATCCAATTTTCCTAAAAGACTTGTTCTTGAAAGTGTCTGTTTCTGGATGGAGTTTTATTCCTACCAGATATTGTAGCTTTCCTCTTCTTTCACCCTCACACAGTTCAGGGTTCACCCCACATTAAACTATCATAGCAAAGCGAACAAGAATATTTTATTGGGGGTATTTTGATTTGATTCTTAATAATTTTGAATATCCATGTAAATTATTTTTTTGGGGAGTGGGGGGAGGAAAACACTGTTTGTCTTGCTCCTAGAGAAGTAAAGTAGAAAAAAAATTAGGTGCACTAAACATATTTGTCAATTTTTTATCATAATATCAATTCATTTTTAATAAACACTCATTCATATAAATGATATGTTAAAGATAAATATTTTTATAATCAGCTTCTTAAGATGCTTCAAAACTCGGGAAATGTCTGTATATAATATAGACATGGACATGTTTGATGTCACTGGAGGCTTAGGAAAAGGAGTGGTGAATTAGTTCTTCACATGACTGTTTAGAAAAATCAAAATAGTTTAATTTAAAAAAGAGCATTAGAATAATATTAATTCTAATAGGTTATATAATAGCTTAATATTTCAATAAAGAAGTTTACTTATGGATTTTTTCATGTAAAAGGATCTCTTCATAGGTTCAGTATTCACCGGACTTTCTGTGTCCATATAGCTACCATTCCTGAAATGTATCTTTTGGGATGCAGAAATGAAGTTCTCTAAGTATAAAATAGCTGCCTAATCAAGTTTTATATCAATGCCAAACTATTTTTGAAATCATGTGTCAAAACTAAAATTGCAAGTGAATTTTTTGAGACAGACTGTCTGTTAGTTCCATTCAGAATGGCAGATTCTTTCATCCAAGAAAATTACTTTCTTTTTTCTTTCTCAATAATAATTGGCAAAATATACTCAAATTGGTATTTCCTCAGATATACTCTAGTTGCTCTGACATGTAATAACTTCAGTTTTTGGAACCTATGAAAGGTAGTCATCCCTTTCTGTGGGTTTGCAATAGTCTTCTTAAAGACTTTGATTCATGAGAAGTAACTTTATCATTCCTTTATAGAATCATTAAGCTATTACATGCTGAAATAATATATCTTCATAGTTTTAAATCCCACCATTCATGAATATTGATCCAAATAATTTTTGTAAGGAAATATGAATTTCTTGTTTAATTAATCAGCTTGTAGAGTGTCTCATTTCATGATACTTATAAATTAACTAGAGGCCTGGTGCATGAAACTCATGCACTGTGGAGGGGGACTTCTGTCATCCTGGCCTGTGCCCTCTCGCAGTCTGGGACCCCTCGCTCCTTAACACCGCTGGCTTGCTGCTCCTTAGCGCTGCCTTGGAGGTGGGAGAGGCTCCCGCCAGCATCTTCCCCCTGGTGGTCAGTGCGCATCATAGCAACTGGTTGTTCTGGTCATTCTGCCATATGGTCTCTTAGGCTTTTATTACAATATATTGATACTGTAATACAGAGTATTTTGGAAGAAGAACTGGAATATTTCCAGGTCTTTATTTACAAAGTGAGACTAACAGTACCTGAATCCTTGTTGTTTTTAGCAGAAAACGAGATAACATATTATCTTAGTGTTTTGCCCAACATAGTAGGCACTTATCAGTGTAAGTTTTTATTCTGATGTGCTGATTTGTAGGTCAACATGGCTAGAGCCAGGTAGGGATGACACTGATAAAACGTTCATAACATTTAGTATTGTTAAAGAAAAACACACACCACAATAGAGTTAATATTATGAAAAAGTGGTACTTTTTTTTTCACTGCCTTTTAAATAAAAATGTCTGCACAATATGGAATTTTAATTTTAAAAATGTGAAGACACTGCATAGCAATATTAATTCATTTTAAAAGATTTCTTGTTAAGGTAAGGCAAGAAATGATGTTGAAAGATACTATATAATTCTTTGGGAGAAGGTGGCAGAAAATTAAATAGTGACCTGCTTTTTGCCAGACAGAGATTTTTGGTGGCACAGACTAAAGAGAAAAGATGGCATTTTAAACTAAGAAAACCATTTTTTAAATAGTTCATTAAGGTGATCAGCCAAATATCCAGGACTTTATACTCAATACAGCTGATGGCAGGTGTTATTTTATTTTCAGAAAATCTATGTCACATAAAGATCATAAATAAAGGACGAATAAGCTAATATATGCTACAAAGCAGAAGAAACTGATGAATGCTCACTGCATTCAAAAGTTTATGTCAAATCTTTTATTCCTGATGTTATTAGAATCTACTGAAATGAATAAGTTCATTGCAAAGGGTTCATTGATTTAAGAAGCTCCAGTGGATATTAGGAAGTACAAACTGCTTTAGTAAAGACCACCTTAAAACTAAACTTATCGATATTTTGATTACTTTTATTCTAATTCCAACTTGAACATGTGTATGTTATAAAAAATATTTCATTTTTTATTGTTCCTACATTGATGATTGAGTTAGATCCTAAAATTTAATCTGGAGTTGGGAGGCAGGGGAAGGTATAAAACACATTTCTTTCAGTTTGGCAAACAGTCATATACAAAATAACATTAATTTGGATAATAAGAACTACTTCATTCACTCACCCTGGTTCACTGTGTATTAATCAAAAGAGTTTTTCATCTGCATGTTAATACCACAATTACATACTAACTTATTTATTCAACATTTAGTGAGCACTTTGTTTATTTTTAACCAAAAAAAAAAAAAATCTACAGGTTAACATGGATAATTTGGAAAAATTCCTTAAAAATATAATATCTCCTATTGCTCACTCTACTTGCCTTATTAAAGAGCCCCATTTTTTTTAATTGCTAAGAACAATACATGTTACTCTTTCATTGTAACTATCTTCCGAGGTCCTCAAAGTACCTTGAAATACATTAATGAATAATAAATTATAATAGCAACCTATTTTGTGATTTTTTTATGTGTAGATAACCCAAATGTTTCTATAGTATTCAATGTAACAAATTATAAACTTGCTACTAATAAAGTATACAAGACATTTAAAAAATGTATACATACTTTAACAGCTTATAGCTCACTTTTGAAAATGAAATACACTTTAATAAACACTATCTTTATGATTATTCAAAGTGTGTATACAGTATACACTTTTGAAGGGGCACCCTATATTTAAGTCAATTGCTCCCTTTGGAATTATTTAAGTATTAATGGACATAATGTAAGCACAGAGAGCAAATACAAATGAGTTGATCATTTTAATGAACATATGTTGTTTTCATTTGTCTGAGAGCTAAGCATTAAGTAAATGCATTACAGTAACACAGCATTTCCAGATAACAGCTTGTTAATAGATTTTGTGTTGCTGTTACTGTATTAAGCATTTCTAATTCTTCCATTTCTTATCTTATAGGAAATAAATGACATGGATGTACAGGAACTTGTAAGAAGGTCAATTGGAAGGCTAACTATCATTCGGCAGACATTCCCAGTCCCCCAGAACATAAGTCAGCGATGTTTCCGTGGCAACCATCGAATATCTTCAACGTTGTGTGATCCAAAGGACCCATTTGCACAGAATATGGAGGTATATTCTAAGTGTTGGAGTGTTTCTTCCTATGGTGTTTTGCTGTGCAGTTATAGAGAGTTGTATTGGATTTAGAATTGTACGTGTTTGCAACTTCTGAACTATTCCCCTTCCCCAGCAACTTATTAAGCCAAAGCATCTTAGGAAGCACAAAGAATCTGTGCTGTTGTTTCTTTTTATTTTTTTAACTTCATTTTAGCAACATATCTACTTGTTTCATAATAATATAAGTAAAGGTTGTTTTCTTCTCAGCAAGTAAGTATATCCATAGCACTTATCATGTTAGAATTTTAAATTGATACTACTTAATGCCAAACTCTAAATTATTGATCTAATAAATTTTATTGGATTTTTGACATAATAAGGACATAAGCTTTCTTTTTAAAGATTAGTTTCCAGTTTGAAGTAGTTCACAAAAGTTTTATTTATAAATGCAAGCAATGCTATAGCATTATATAATCATATGTAACTCAGATAGGATATAGCTGTGACCTTCACTATTTGGAGTACAACAAAGAATTTGAAAATTAAATTTCTGAGCAGCAAAATAGAGAACACCAAGTCCCTGAAGTTAACTCATAAAAATGCCTTTTAAGTACTCACCCAGAGCCTATATCTTCCTCTTAAGGGAAATCCCATCAGACATTTTTGTTTTATTTCTCTTTGCACAAGGATTTCAATATGTCAATTTGAAAGGGGATTACAAAAGGCAGGTGTGAGGATAGCAGTAGAGAGCTATAAGGTTCACTATCTAGCAAAGCAAGAGGCAGGAAAAAAGAAATCAATCAGAAATCTAATTCAAATATTTTATCGGTGAAGGACTTTTGTTAAAAAAAAAAAAAAAAAAACTGCGTCATGAAACAGTTCCTAAGGGTATCACTGTAGTGTACTGCCAGCATATTAGTATTTAAACGGTAGCCCTGAGATAGCAACAAAGATTAAAGTCATGGTCAATTTCAGAAGTCAGAAAAATATATATTTCAGAAAGTGATTCCTTCAAAATATTCACATCAAAATATTTCAGTACTTAGAGACGATCAGTTTGAACATTTTGGAAATATCACCCTATTAGAACTAGTTCATCCCAAATAATACTAGATAAAAAAGGGAATTTTGCAAACTACCTCTTCCTTTGAATGATAAATTCACTTTAATAAACACTATCTTTAGTTATGCTTGGACTTTTTAAATGAATTATAACATACTCAAACTAGTTTTTCATACTTACTACCATTGCAGGGAGCTGTGTGAAATACTGGGCAGCCCATTAGGGATCATTGCCCGTAGAACGTTGTTTCCTACTCGATTTTAAGCTCTTTTAGAATGGGTTCCCTCCAGCACATGATATCATAAAGCCCCATGAATTACTAGTCTATCTTTCCTTTTCCCATCGTACCTGGCCCAGTGCTTTGCACCTCTGTGAATATTTGTTGATTTCAATGTAGTAATTAAGAAGAAGGCAGTGGTCAAAATAAGTCACTCTGAAGTATAAACACCTGTTTAAATTTTAATGCCTGTCTTATTGAATTCTTATAATGACCTAGCTTTCCATATGAATTGGTCATGAGTATAATTGATGTGGAAATGATAGAATTTCAATTGTAGAAAAACATGAAAGAATTTTCATTCAGAAAAATCTTGAAATATTCAATACTGTTTTCTGTAAAGAGAAGTATCAGAAAGAATACAAATTGTTAAAGCAGGAAGTAGCTACACAGATTTTAAAGCACCTCAATCCAACAGAGTAACCCTTCATATTCAATTAATTAATTTCTTGAAATCGAGGAAACAGATATTTTATTTAGCTTTATATTCCCTGACTTATCTGATGAATTAAGGACGTAGATGAAGCACCACCCCTCTATCCCACACCTTCACCTTACTTCCCTCAAACACACCGGTGGAGAGAAGCCAAGACAATTACTTTTTCTTTGAGGGTTTGTTACATAGTAACTTCCCTATTATGTAATAATAGAATTTAACCAAACAATTAATATATAAAAGGAAAACTGACAGACACTTTGATAAGTGAAGATTTATATAATTGAGTCTAAAATGCAAGACTCCTGAATTTAAAATGTTTCACTAAAAGCAGAGCAATAGAGGCTTGCCTCAGTGAAGCTATTATCTCACTAACGTTAAACAAAGCAACAAGAAAAATACTGAGAATTTAGGAGTAGGTGGTTAGAAGTGACACTCTTGTCTTGAAGTTCATCAATAAAAACAATTCAGATAGCCCTGGCTGGTTTGGCTCAGTGGATAGAGCATTTGCTTATGGACAGGGGTGGGGGGGTAGGGGGAGTCCCAGTCCCAGGTTGGATTCCAGCCTGGGCCATATGCCTGGGTTGCAGGCTCAATCCACAATAGGGGGCATGTGGGAGGCAGCTGGTCAATGATTCCCTTTCATCATTGATGTTTCTCTCTCTCTCTTCCTCTCTGAAATCAATAAAAAAAATATATTAAAAAAACACAATTCAGGTCAATATAATCACAGACACTTGTATTTAGCAAGGTTTGGCTCAGTGGTAGAGCGTCGGTCTGCGGACTGAAAGGTCCGAGGTTCAATTCTGGTCAAGGGCATGTACTTTGGTTGTGGGCACATCCCCAGTAGGGGGTGTGCAGGAGGCAGCTGGTCGATGTTTCTCTCTCATCGACATTTCTAGCTCTCTATCTCTCTCCCTTCCTCTCTGTAAAAAAATCAATAAAATATATTTTAAAAAAATAAAAAATAAATAAAAATAACTCAAAAAAATAAAGATTTGAAAATATGACTCAAGTGAGCTCTAAAAATAAAAATCTACCATAAAATCACAATCAACACAACAAAGGAGAAGAGGGTACAATGAGACTGTGTACAGATCTCTGAGCTATTATATATTTTAATATGCACAGAAAGAGAAGATTTAGAAAGGAAAAAAAAAAAAAAAAGTTTCCAAATTTTTTAAATCAATGCCAGAAGAATAAATTCAAGGGTTAGCTGAAGTTGCAAAATAAGCCCTATCTAATAAAGAGAGAATATGCTAATTGACCCTCACACCATCGCAAAGATGGTGGTTCCCACATCCAATAAGGAGGAAATATGCTAATTGACTGCCACACTGTCAAAGATTGCGGCTTCCACAGCCACAAGATGGCAGTGCCCAGTTCCCTTAGCCCTGCTGGAGCAGCAGGCATCCACCAAAACCAGGGGGGCCCAGCCGTGCCACGTGCCTGCCTCCAGAGTACCCAATCCCCTTAGCCACCCAGCCGCCCAGGGATGCCCAAGGCTCATGAAACAGGGCCGGCCAAGGCTTGCACTGCTGGCAGTGGCAGCAGCAGAGGTGTAATGGGGCGTCACCTTCCCCTGATTGCTGGGTCACCTCCTGCCTCTGAAGGCTCCTGGACTGTGAGAGGAGGCAGGTCAGGAGGAGGGACCCCACTTCCAGTACATGAATTTTCATGTACCGGGTCTCTAGTGTTAAGTGAATATTTTAGCTAGAAACAGTTTTTAGCAAATAGGGAGTGAGCTTATTGCTTGGTGAAACCAATGTTAGCTTTACTGATAATGGAGAGAAAACAGAAACATTTAAATCATTTTGCTTCTGTTTTCTCCATCTAAAAAAACTGTCTTCAAATTGCAAAGGTTTAAATAAAAGTCATTTTAAAAATTAACCATTGTTTTAGAAATAAACAGGAGTTTGGAGATTGTAAGAGTGTGTCTTATTGTTCTAAAATGATCCCTAGCCCATTTGGCTCAGTGGCTAGAGCATCGATCAGCCTGTGGACTGAAGGATTCCAGGTTCAATTCTGGTCAAGGGCATATACTCAGTTGCAAACTCAATCCTTGGCCCTGACCCTGGCTGGGGTGCGTGCAACCAATCAATGTGTCTCTATCAGCTCTCTGCCTCTCCCCCCCTTCCACTGTCTCTAAAAATCAATATATATATATATATATATATATATATATATATATATATATATATAAACAAAAATAAATAAATAAAGGAATATTAAAAATAAATAGGCTTGAAAAATAATTGCTCTTAATAATAAACTAGAGGTCCGGTGCATGAAATCTGTGTGTTCCTCAGTCCAGCCTGCACCCTCTCCAATCTGGGGCCCTTCGAGGAATGTCCAAGGGCAGTCAGACATCCCTCTCCCAGTCCAGGACTCCTGGCTTCCAACCATTTGACTGCCTGCCTATCTGATTGCCCCTAACCGCTTCTGCCTGCCAGCCTGATCACCCCCTAACCACTCCCCTGCCAGCCTGATCCATGTCTAACTGCTCCCCTGCCAGTTCGTTGCCCCTAACTGCCCTCTCCTGCTGACTTGGTCACCCCTAACTGCCCTACTCTGCTGGCCTGGTTCCTCCAACTGCACTCCCCTGCAGGCTTGATTCCCCCCAACTTCCTTCCCACAGCTGCCCTCCGCTGCAGGCCATCTTGTGTCCACTTGGGGGTGGCCATCTTGCGTGTTGGAGTGATGGTCAATTGGCATATTCACCCTTTATTATATAGGCTAAGCAAGTGAATATGATCACACATTATAATTTATAAGTACTAGAGAAATACTTGGGAAGAGAATTCAAGTATAAGAAAACTTTGGTGAATGTCCTAATTTATAAAGTAAAGCAAAAAAATTTTGATAATCAGAGTTTAATATACTAAAATTAATATCTACATGAACTTTAGGATATAGTATTATACATATTGTTTAGGGAACTTTAAATAAGACAATAGGACTTTCTAAGAAGCAAATGCTGCCAAAGTAAGTCTTAGATGAATTTTTAGGTTATAATGTCATAAATATACTTATTGTATATTGATTTTTACATAGGGTTTGACAAATTTCTTATGAAATCCTTTTGCAAAGACATTAATAAGTCTAGGTAGATTGATGTCAGTCAAACATTTGACAAAAGGTCTCCTAAGAACAGAAGTTAGTGAACATTCTGATCTCAGATGTTTTTTTTAAAGTTCAAAATATGTTAAAGTCTCATTATTCTCTTTAAAAGTTATAATACATGAGTTTATTTTAGATAATTTACCAGCTAAATTTTTTTTAGTTATTTCCATACACACACACACACACACACACACACACACCCCGCAAATCTTTAAGCAAAATTGATATACCTCAGACATGGCTAAGATATGTTCCTTAGTTTGAATATTTCCTTATATCCACAATTTACCACCAGGTCTTTTGTTACCCTCAGTTTGTAAAGTGTGCAACTAGAGGAATACTCAAACCATAATGATAAATATCCTACAAGGATCTATTCTATGGTCACCCAGAAAATTTTATTCTTGGGTCTAATATTTTAAAATGTTTATAAATACATGAAGAAAAATGAAAAAAATATGCCTATCAAATTTTTTTAATCAGCCGAAGCTGGTTTGGCTCAGTGGTAGAGTGTCGGTCTGCAAACTGAAAGGTCCCAGGTTCAATTCCGTCAAGGGCATGTACATTGGTTGCGGGCACATCCCCGGTATGGGGTGTGCAAGAGGCAGCTGGCCGATGTTTCTCTCTCATCGACGTTTCTAGCTCTCTATCTCTCTCCCTTCCTCTCTGTAAAAAATCAATAAAATATATTAAAAATAAAAAATAAGAAAAAAATATATATATATATATTTAAAAAATAAATAAATAAATCACATAAAGCTAGTGGAGAAAGTTTATATTGTGTTATATAATCAAGATCCAAGGTGTTAATATTTACTGAATAATAAGCCTGAAAGTTGAAATTTCACAGAGATAAAGTATAGGTTTAAAATAAATTACAGGATGTCTAGATGAATGGGACCTAGTTTGACAGCTGTTTATGACTGTAGAGATGAAGTTAGATTTGGTATGAGCATAGCACAGAGCATATGTCCTCTAAACCTTTCTAATGGAATCTTGGTCTCTATGTCAGAAGCATTTTGCTAAGACCAAAAGAGATAGGCCGTATCTATCTCCTAGTTAGATCATCTCTGCAATAATATGTCAGTTCTGAGTGTCAGACTTTGATCAGAAACATTGAAACATAAAAGGAAGACAGAGAAGAGAGCTGAGATGATGAACAGCCTAGAAATTATACTAGATGATAAACACCTTAAGTAAAGAAAGTGTTTCAGAGCAAGTAATAGATGGTGTGAAATATTGGGTGGTTGTTATGTGGAGGAAGTGGGTGATGGTGATTCACTGAAGTCAGAAAACAAGTGTAGTGACAGGAAGGTAGAGAGAAATGATTGGTTACATGGTGGGATGCTGGTGTTTAAGATATTAGAGGTGGTGTGTGTTTGTGTCTAGTGAATAGTTACTTATATTGGTTGTAGCCAGAATGGAAGTAAAGATCATGGTTGTGGAAATCAAAATGATCTTTATAATGCAAGAGGATAGTTTGGGATCATTGTGAAGGAGGAGTCAAAGGTCAGCAGAGGATGGCAGAAAGGGGCTAATAAAGTGTGGCATGGGAAAGAGCACAAACTTCAAAGGAGAATAGGCACTTACCTAAAACACAAAAAGAAAAATAAAGAAGAAGGAGGAGGAGGAGGAAGAGTAGGAATTCAAAGCTCAGAGAATGCCAACATCCCCTTTGGGTTCTGCAGTTTGGAATATGGGCAAATGAGAAGAGGCAGTCATTTGATTATATCATCTGTCACATATTGAGTTCAATGCACTCACCTTTCAAACCAGCATGGATGCCCCAAGTACATGCCTCAAGGTGTGCAAAAGAGACTGTGCCACAGACATGTCAGGTGTGATTGGAATTCGTGTTGTCAAGCTTCTCACTGCTTGACTTCTATCAAACCTACCCGCTGTTAAATTTGATATTCTTTCCCCCCCTTTATTTTTATATGTATTTATCAAAAAACAAATCGCTGCATGTGCTAAGCTCTAGGCTAACTCAAGGGGAAATAAAGAATGAAGGAAACAAAAGAACAAAGGGGAAAATGTGCACAGTATGAGCCCCCAGCCAGAAGAAACTCATATTCTAGTGTGAAAGGCAGATTTTAAAAGAATCTTAGCATGATGATATGTTTCATTAGAAGTATGCACTGAGTGTTGTTACAGGAGATAAAAAGACTGCCCAATGAGCCCTACATGGGGAGGGTGCTGAGAGCTGTTAGGGTAGGATTCACCTAGTTTGGTACCTAGGAATTGAGTATTAGAGGGAATTAAGTAATTAGAGAAAGATAAATAGACATCAAAGAATGCTTCCACATCAATCTCATATAAGCACTTAAAGCAGAGAGAAAGAGAGAGAGAGAGAAAAAAAGAGAGAGAGAGAGAGAGAGAGAGAGAGAGAGAGAGAGAGAGAGAGCGAGAGAGAGAGAGCGAGAGAGTGAGCGCAAGCGCAAGCGCAAATATGCTGGGAGAGGTTAGAAATGGCCAGATTATTGCAGATAATTGAGAGATTATGAAAAGTTTGTCCTAAATTTTTGGATACAGCCTACTCAGTCTTCATGTTTCTTCTAGGTTCTCCTTTTGGGTCTTCAGACTAATTCAGACTAAATTTTGATTCATTGGGCACTTTTAACTTCAAATCTCACTCTTCATTTATTGTACCATATTTTGGGCAAACCTCTCTCACTCTCCCCTCACTCCCCACCCCCACCCCGCCCCAGCCCCAGGCTCTCTAGTGGTTATCTGTCAGGGGGAGGGGCATGGGAGGCAGGCTCAGGAGATGGGTGGAGAATAGCCTTCTCTCATATGTCCTTACAAAAAACAAACCAGCATTTCACATCGTTCATAAGAATATCCAATGTCTCTTTAAAGAAAGAACGACCTCCCATAAGTTTTATGCATGTCAAATAATGCTTAAAAACACAAATGATTAAAGATCTACCAATTAATAACAGAAAACTCACAGGCCCTGTTAGAAAATGTTTATTAACAGTTGCTCAATAGTATCAAACTCTCATTATCCTAATAGGTAAACTTAATACTATTCTGTGATGGGGGAAGGCAATTTTATAAGATTCCTTATAAGATTCCTAAGCAAAGGGCAGTGAATAGGCTGTCCCTTTTGTTTTCATGGGGGGGTGGGGGGGAGATAAGACACTAAAATTTCTGGAAATATTTCAATGCTCTAAGATGGATTTGATTTTCATAGTTATGTTGATTCCTCATTTAAAATGTATATATTTTTAATTGATTTCAGAGAGGGAATGAGAGGGAAAGAGAAATAGAAACATCAATGATGAGAGAATCATTGATTGGCTGCCTCCTGCATGCCCCACTCTGGGGATCAAGCCCACATCAGGGCATGTGCCCTGACCGGGAACTGAACCTGACCTCCTGGTTCAAAGGTGGACTCTCAACCTCTGAGCCATGCTGGCCAGACTGATTTGTCACTTTTAATTTTATGTTTGATTTTTCCTTCATAAAGGTTATAATGCCACATTTAACAACTTACATCAACTCTAGATATCTCTTGGTGTTATATTTTGTAAATATTTTCCAATTTATTTGAAAAATAGACACCTTCAGTAGTTATTAATAATAGTATGGACAGCAATTCTGGCAAGAGTTAACTGTAATACTGCAATAGCTCTTAACAAGCATTTCTATAATTCCAGTTTCAATCTACATAGGAGGAAGATAATAATATGATTACTTTAGAAAAAGAAAGCTTTAATGTAAACATGAATTCACAAAGTCAGTAGTTCAAGGTATGTCATTATAATGAGTTGCAATGCACGTGCATACATCTATAATTTTGTATAGATTCTTGGTTATTGTGATATTTATAAATGGTGCTACTTTGTCTCATTTTTTTTTTTCATTACTGAATCCCCATAGACACAAATGTTCACACAGATGGCTATTTTCTTTTTTTTATACCTATGACACTCACATTCATCTGATAGATAAGATCAAATTGATATTTCTCAATCTGAATAAACCAGAATGCAAAAACTTGACATATTCAGAAAATGTATTATTCAGTGCGCGCTCCCAATCTTAAGCCCTTAGATCTTTACCTCCTCAGAAAGAAATAAGGGCCACTGATTTTCTGAGGTCTGACACTAACTGCCTTGCCTCTGTCGGAACTTCTCTTTTTTTAAATCTTCTCTTTCACACCTAAATAAGCTGAAAAGGCAGTTGAAGCATACAATCAGGTAAGCATACAATTGTCAGAGGCAAAATTGCCAGGGAAATGAAAAAAGAAACCTTCGGCTTCATACATAACCCAGCAAACCAGCCATGTACTAACTACACCAACGGAGGCATCGGAGCTGATGATCTTCTCCATATTCTTGATGGCTGGTGTCGGTGAGTCTAATGATTACTGTGTCATGTCTTTTCAGATTTCGAACCTTTACATATATGACACGGTGCTTCTGCTTGCTAATGCGTTCCATAAGAAGCTGGAGGACCGGAAGTGGCACAGCATGGCGAGCCTGTCGTGTATCAGGAAGAGCTCCAAACCCTGGCAGGGCGGGCGGTCCATGCTGGAAACCATCAAGAAGGTAACCTCTGACCAGCATTTCCCTCCTGGTTTTCCATAAAGAGGATGCAATGGATCATATTTTGAAGAGATATCTTTTAGAAGGAACCCTCCCTCCCCCCAATTTGCTGCCAATTCAAAGCACAACACAGTGTAGTGGAGAAATGAAATATTAAAAGTAAAAGGACAGAAATGTACACACATACAAAAAGGGGCCTTTACTTATTTGCAAGGGAATTTTACTTAGGTTAAAAAGTTAGTGGTTGAAATACTTTAAATTGCTTTGGTTATATTATTAGGGCTAGAGGTGTTTAAATTGGTTTGGTGCCTGTCACAAAAGGCAAAAAGCTTTTTTCTTTACACTGAAAAAAAAAAGAGAGAGAGTTAGTTGTTTCTACCATTTAGCTGATACATGGTGAGACATTGGATGGTCTTTATGTTATAATGAAGATGTAGTTCATAAACAGTTAATATTTGCAACATTTAGGAACTACTTGCTACGTGAGGGCATTCTTCTTCTCCTTCTTCGCTGTCAGGGTAGTGCTGAGCCTGGCTGTGACTTGTTTCACCTTAGCTACCTGTTCCATTTCAGGGAGGCAGTTTGTGCTGCTCAGCTTCTCTCAGTGGTATAAGCATCCTGCAGTTTATTAGCCTCTTTGTCATGTCATCCTTGCTGGCATTTTCCATTTGTCTCGCACAGCTTCTTGGATTTAAAATGAAATGATTAATAAAATAAACAAATTTCTCCTGTACCCTTTACACAAAGGAGACAGACATTTGAATGTTTATGTTCTTTATTTTGCCAATCCTTTTTCTTTCGGCATATGTTTGCTGTTCTCTCCTGAAGCAAAAAGAGAAATGGCTAGTCAAATGAAACATGAATGGATTTAGAAAAGCCAAAGAAAAGTCTCAACATTTGGCATTAGAAATGAACTAGAAATACAAAAACCAAGAAATGGAAGAAAGAAATGTTTCAAATGGAGACCAGCCTATATCTTTATCTTAGTAGTGCTTCCTTTTATAAAATGTATTTATTTTTTATTTTATTTTTATTTTAAAAATATTTTATTGATTTGAGAGAGAGAGGAAGGGAAGAAAGAATAGAGAAGGAGAAACACCCATGTGAGAGTGAAACATCTATTGGCTGCCATCCGCACATCCCCTACAGGCATGTGTCCCAACTGGGAATTGAACTAATGATCTCTTGGGTTCATGGATCAATGCTCAACCATTGAGCCACACCAGCCAGGCATGTACTGCTTCCTTTTTGCAAGAGAATCACTTTCATGGGAATTTGGGTTCTTAGCAACAGAAGTATTTGAAAATGTATTGAATATATTGGCAGAGAAATATTTTTCAACTGGAAATAGATCAGTCAAATTTAAACTCAAGGTGTTGCCAGAATCTCTCCATCTATGTGAAGAATAGGCAAGTATGGATCCAAGGGAGGTTGCTGAACATGATTCTGAACCTACTCATTTATTAACTCATAGTTTGGCTAAAATGCAGAACTTGAATATATTCATTTTCCTGAAGCTATCTCATAAAGACAGAATAATATTCAGGATGTTGCTTAGGCAACACTTATGTAGTGTGAGTATCAATAAGAGGGAAATGAAGACACCACTAAATGTAGCTTTTTCTCCTGGAGCAATTCAATATGCAAAATGTTGCTGTAATAAAGTTTATAATCAAAACAATGATATAATAACTATGAACTCTATTTTGGAGTAATATTTGCATATTTGTCCCTGTAAGCTCTTAGTGATGCTTTTTAAAGTAGTATCTCTATTCTATGTATTTAGAAACTAAGTTTAAATTATATACATGATTGCAAATTTTCAATTTCTTATTTTTTGTTTCATGTTTTAAGATAACCTTAAAATTTTGATTTTCCCCCCAGTCATACTGCTTTCCTTCATATGAGTATTTTGGTTATCTCATTCAGATATCCAGGCTGATAATACTCCACACAAAGAGAATTTGAGAGAAAATGTTTTACTCACATAGGAACTCCTAGAGCACATGTGTCAAACACAAGGCCCTCGGGCCAAATCCGTCCCGCCAGGCCTTGCAATGTGGCCCGCACTGCGCTGTCATCACTGCACTCCGCTGCGTTTCCATCACAATGACAGTTTATGACTGTTCAGTAAACCATTTGGCCCGCGATTTAGGCTGGATTTTAGATTTTGGCCCCTTCTCTGATTGAGTTCGACACCCCTATCCTAGAGAGAGCAGAGTGTGCCCCAGCAGGTCCAATCTAGCTTGGGCCAAGCAGAGGGAATGGTCTGGGCCAGGAGTCTGCAACCTTTAAGACATAAAGAGCCACTTGGACCCATTTTCGAAGGAAAAAAAAAACCTGGGAGCTGCAAAACCATTGCGACATTTAAAACAAATATAATATAACACTGCATATATTGTTTCTTACCTTAATGCTATATACCGGATCGTGCTGTGAATCTGAAGAAAAAAAGGACTTTTTCACTTAACAACGTAAAATATATATATATATATATATACACACACATATATATTTTTTTAAATATATTTTATTGATTTTTACAGAGAGGAAGGGAGAGAGATAGAGAGCTAGAAACATCGATGAGAGAGAAACATCGACCAGCTGCCTCTTGCACACCCCACACTGGGGATGTGCCCATAACCAATGTACATGCCCTTGACCGGAATCGAACCCGGGACCCTTCAGTCCGCAGACCGAAGCTCTACCGCTGAGCCAAACCAGTTTCGGCCCGTAAAATATATTTTTGCAAATTAATAGCTAATTAAAATATTTAATTTACCTGGTTAATGGGGTTTTTGCTCCTGAACCTCAGTGCATAGTGTCAGCACATCAGGGCTGTAAGATGTTACCTTCATTTTCACACGGGCTTGCCAGTTGTCGGAGCCGCGGTAAAGCTTCAGAAGAGCCACATGCGGCTCTGGAGCTGTAGGTTGCCGACACCTGGTCTGGGCCTTCGTAGTGGTTAGGGGTTGGAGCTGGAAATAGTTCCCATTGACTTGGTATGGAGATTTGTGTGTCTTAAAATTCCCATGGGTGTGAAAGAAGGAGGTGCAGAATGGCCAGATATATATATTGATTTTAGAGAGGAAGGGAGAGGGAAAGAGACATAGAAACATCAATGATAAGAGAGAATCACTGATTGGCTGCCTCCTGCACACTGCCCCTATGAAGATGGAGCCTGCAACTTGGACATGTGCCCTGACTGGGAATCAAACCATCGTGACCTCCTGGTTTACAGGTAGATTCTCAACCATGAAGCCATGCTGGCCAGGCAGGATGGACTTTTTTTTTTTTTTAATTCTTTATTGTTTAAAGTATTTACATGAGTCTCCCCCCTCCTCCCCATTGACCTCTTACCCCCCACTCACACCCCTGCTGTCTGTGCCCATTGGTTATGCTCATATGCATGCATACAAGTTCTTTGGTTGCTCTCTTACCCCCTCACCTCCTGCCTTCCTTCATAGGTTGTATAGTCTGTTTGATGCTTCTATGTCTCTGCTTCTATTTTTGTTCATCAGTTTATGTTGTTCATGATATTCCACAAATGAGTGAGACCATGTGATATTTATCTTCCTCTGACTGGCTTATTTTGCTTAGCATAATGCTCTCTAGTTAGGATGGACTTTTTAAATCAGCCTGTGCATGAGTGGAGCCAAGGGGGAAAGGGAGGGCAAAGTTTAAAGAGAAGTCAGGACCAAACATCACAAATGTGATCGGACTGTTTATTGCAATGGGAACATTCTAGTGATAAAATTCTTAATCACATTCAAGTAACCACTGAATGCCTACCTTAGGACATGCCCTACACACTGTACAAAGCCTGTGTTCTGCTGCAAGGAGACAAAGAAGCTAAAGAACAAATCTTTCCTTGAATTATTTATATTCTAATTAGGAAGATGAGACAAAAGATTTAAAAAGCACTGCAATTGACTTAAGCACTATAAATGTCCAACAGAGGGGAGGTGGTGAAGCTTTATGATTTCTTTTTTAAGTTGAAACTTTATAACTTATCTTTTGAATCGATAGAACAGGTGCTTCCACATTTCTCTTCTTTCTGTAAAAAATTAGAGGCTAATTCTCAACTGTTTATTTCTTCCAGATAGCATCAGTACTCCCCAAGCATAGCTGTATGGATTTTATAGAATATTTTTGAGAGTTAATAATTTTTAAAATATTGAATATTCCCATCTATGAATGAAGCATTTATCTATATAGTCATCTTTAAAGCCCTCAGTAAAGATTTATAGTTTCTTCATACATATTTCATTGTATTTACTCCTACACTTTTACAGAGTTTTGGGTATATTTGTTGGTGTGTGAGCATGTGTGTGTGCACACTGTCATGAATTATTTTATTGTATTATTTTTTTTAAATTAGTGATTGTAGGTACATAGGAAGTTATTGAAGTTTGATATATTTTTTGAATGACCTCATTAATTCTGGCACTTAAATCTTGATACTCTTTCTTTGTAGTTTATTCTCTTGCACTTTTTCATTAGATATTGATATCATCTTCAAATAAAATTATCAATTAATTATAATACTTTATGTTATTGTAAACTATAAAAAACTTCTCTTGGGACATCTCGGAGCACATCCTGCCAGGTACACTCTGGAGCCCTGTGTGCTTTGGAGGCCATCACCTTTCCTCCCTCCAAGTGAGGACATCAAGCAATCTCAAAGACACAGAGGAGAGGACTCTCCCGCTACAGGAGAGCCTCCACTGGGGGTGACCTGGCCTGGAGCTGACCTGCAAACCCTGCCGCACAGGACACATCGTTTCACAGCTCTCTTCTAATGCATTCTTTCCTATTTCCCCTGAATTTGATGTTAGTTCACCACTGACATGCGGTACTCCTAGCTCTTGGTAGAGAGAACCCCAAGCAGCGGTATTAGGGACACACGCTTGAGGCAAAGGCCTCACCTGGCTGGGGTCTGCAGGTAGGTTTTCAGTAGGGACCAGCAAGGCCACAAAGCTTGTGATGTGTAGAACAAATAT